TACTACTATCTCTCCCAACACAAAAACTGAAAAACATTTGCCAAACAACTTGTCAACAAAAACTTATATTATATTGAACAGCTTCTCAACTTCAATGACAACAAAATTACAAGCTGGCAACACATTTCAGCCAGGCTAGGACGCAATACTCAAGGAAAAACTTCTCTTTGGTACAACACTCTCTTGCAACTACAATTTAACCAAACAGGAACAACCCTGCCCAATCAAACAAAAAAAGGAAATAAATAGCAACTCTCATTAACAATAACATAATCATCGACAAAAAACAAAAAACAAATAAAAACAACTTACTAGTCAAACATTAGACATACAATGATCATGACCCCAACAAATCCTTAACACTCTTAAAATATAATGGATGTCCTCTCAACATCTACCCCAACACACATGAATGCAAATTACTCATTCCACACAACTGTCTCAACCTATTCACCAAACCAGTCACAAACAATATGCTCAAAACAAAAATAACAAAAAACGATCTTCACAACTTCCTACAAACCAACATAATCATAAACAACCCACAAATAACTATTTCTTCAAATCTACTTGACTCACTTAAAAACAAACACTTCTCCATCACATCCCAAAAAACTATCAAAAACCTTCCTAACTTTCAGAACTCTCCATTGGAAGTCCTATTAACATTCAAACTTAATACTAACACCACAACAGTCACCTGGAACTATGTTTAGCATTATCAATAATTCACTACACACTTCAATCTACAACTATTCCCAGCTTTACTTTACACAATTATAATAATACTACTTACCAACAAAGCAAAAAATATCATAATCTTTTTTAAACACCCCAAAATTAATAGCAAAACTAACTTTTGCACCACTACCATCCAACCATAGGAAAAAATGCAAGCTTCCTTACTTCTCAACAATCACAAACATTTATAATATAATACAAACTCTCCAAATTCCTCTATCTTTCTATAAACCTATCACAAAAATACTCAAAATATAATTCACTAACACTATTATATCCCAAATAAACATCATCGATACCTTTTCTATTCAATACACACTAACAAATACACAAAAAAATTCTCTACCTCCAACTAGAAACTATCTCAAGCAAATCAACAAAACATGATGTCTAATAGAAATAATCCACTCAGAAAGAGCAAAAATAACTTTTAAACCTGATCTATCACTTCTTGTACAAACCCTAATATTTCTCAAAAACATACTTATTCCAATTATACAATATCAATTCAAACTGTACAACTTCTGTCTCAAAATTCTCTACAATACTCTCCCTACAAAAGTATACTTTTACATAACATCTTCAAACATATATACCAACAATCTATGTTCACAATATAATACAAACCCAGAAACAACTCACTATCTTTGGATCTACAAAGAGAGCTTAACAATACTTAAAAAAATAATCAATAATATGCAAACACTATTGGGAAAAAAATTCAAAAACAATAAAAATTTTGATGAAAAACAAATTCAAAAACTACTAAACATTAACATTAATACTGTTAACTTTGCAATGGGCACCTACAACTAAATACAATTTTCAAAAATCTCAAACCAATACAAACTGATCTCAAAAACATCAACAAAATCCAAAACAAAACACTTGAACTACTATATATACAAATATGGATACCCCAAAACCAGAAGATAATTACAGAAGAAAAATTCCTAGACATATTACAAAACACCAAATATTAAAAAAACACCAACATCATCATTATCAACAACAACAATAATAACAAATCTCACAATACACAAAAAAACAAAAAACACCAACCCCAACAACAACAACAAACAACTCTGAGAAATTCCACACCCAATAATACAAATCAAAATGACAAACTAACTAATATCATTTTTCAATTATTTTTCCAAAACTTATTCATGCCTGTACAGGATAAAATAAATTATTAGAAAGATATTAGTCCCCAAACTAAGTGATTACTTTCTTTTTTCCTTGCCTCAAGGTTTTTTTAACAGAAATATACTTAGAACAGTAGTAGGCTAACATATATAATAATGTATCTTAGTATCTTAATATTAATCATGTAATAGTTCAATTACTCTATTAATAAAGATCACGAGAAATGCCTTATTTAACATTAAAAAAAAAAACAAATTCATATTTTGCTTATGTAAGAAAAAATCAATTTTAAAAAAAATTAGTTATAATATATAATATTATTATATGTATGCATACAGCATATATATATGATGCACAAAAAAATCCAAAATATATTAATTTGTCTATCTTTAATTACAACTATTTAGTCAATATTTCTTTTTTGAAAAACAAGAGAAATAATAGATAAAAGATTTTTTTAAGATAAGTTAATTAGGGTTTTTTGTTATTTTTCAGAAACAGTTATATAATTTTGTATTAAGTTGATTTTTTTTATTTTTTTATTATATTACTAATGTATTGAAAAATAAAAGAAATGTTTTTTTGATTAAAGTGATATACAAGTTTTAGAAAATTTTCTTTGGTTTTTTTTTTTATTATTTTTATTAAATAAGAAAATTTTAAGTAAAAATTTGATTATCAAAAAAAGATTTTTTTTTTAAATAGAAAAGAAAATTATTAATAATACTTATTTTAATTATTTTAAAAAAACAACAATTTTACATAAAATATTTAGTATTAAAAAAATTAAGTAATTAAATTTTGTTGTATTTTTATTATATTGTATTGAAATAAATATAAATCCTTTAATTTTAATCATAACATATAAATTTATTTAATTAATATTGATCAGAGTATATAAATTTAGTGACTTAATATTATTTGACATAATTAAATTTATTGATTTAATAATAATTGACATAATTAAATTTTATTATATATAATTTATTATAATTCATTTGTTTTATTATTAAATTTCGGATTATAAATTTAAATTTAATAAAGGTTTTGTATTTCACATTTGTTTATAATAAAAAATAATAAATTAAATTAAATATTATAGAAATTAATATAGATATATAAAAACAATTTTATATTTTTATTAACAAAAGATTTATAATCACTTTTTTATAACAAATCTTTAAAAGTAATATTTAAACTTGTCTATATAATTTGTTTGTCATTATAAATTTATTGAAAATATTTTTATTGTAACCAAAGCATATGTTATTAATTTGAAATACGTAAAAACAATATACACTATAAGATGAATTTTTTATAAATAAATATACAATATATACAGCATACAAAATACCAAAAATTATTAAAATATGTTTTTATTTTTTTGATATGATTATTATTAATTTTATGCAAATCGGGATAATTTACATTTTTTAAAAAAAATCAACAAAATATTTATTTCGTAAATATACAGTATATGTACAGTATATTTTATTTTTTTTCATTTAAAAGACTCGTCTGTTTATAAATAAGTTTTTTTTATATTCATAATAGTAAAGGGTAAAGTTAAATATTTTCATAGATTCATCCAAACGAAAACTGATGTTGGGTGCGAAGGGGACTCGCGTTATACTGTATTACTTCGTATCAACCGTATACAGCCCAGGAAATGTTCTCAAAATATTTCTATTTGTATGTTCATGACGAAATAACTACGTACGTGTTGATGCATATAAGAGGTCCATTAATTAAACGATCGACATAAACTCACGCGTTTTCCCATTTTCATTTTCCTATTTACACACATTAATTTTTTTTCTTTAAAAAAAAACCGCAAATGTACAAATACGTTTTGTTCAAATCAACAACAAGACGGCGACAACATTCACAAAAAAAATTAGAAATGATGTTATTACATTCACAGTGGGAGAGAGTTGAACGTTTACAAAAACAACAATTACTCCTCTCTTGTTTCACAGCATTTTTATTACTTTTGCTTGTTGTATCAGGTGAGTCATAATTTTTCGAGTTAACATGTCACGGAATATGTTAAATTCTTAATCACGATTAAGATACAGGATTGAATGCAATGTTTCATGACCTTGGAAAATTCGTCGGTACATTTAACGAATAATTGGGCATGTCAGGTAGGCAAAAATGTGACCGAATATAATCTAGGTGGATATAATAATTCAAAAAGTTAATCAAATGAGAATTCCCATTCATCAAAGTTTCTATTTGGGTAAATAGATGCGACAGTTGATTTTAGAAGCAAATTGACTAAACATAGTCGATCGATCAATTATTAAACAAAAAAAAAAAAGATATTATAAGTTTCTTTAATATGCAATAAATCTGCGATCATTCGAGATGATTTTACTAATTCACCCTTTCTGCTCGCTGTTCACAAAGAATAAACCTTTTCTTACAAACGACGATATCTATTGCCATTGCATGATTTATTAATAGGCAATACTGTAACGGGTTAAACTTGAAAATATCAAACATTTACGCTGTGCAAATGTGATTGATTACGGTATTCCCAAATGCCTGTTTAACTTGACCATCGCTTTTTAAAAATTAATGCATAGACTGCATGTATTATCATCCATTTATCCCCGAGGTTAAAGGATGAGAATCTGTTGATGACGTTATTGCATTGGATTGGATTATTTTAAATTTCAGTGTTTGTAGTCGAAATTGATTATCATTTATTTTATTAAAAAAAGAAAAATCATTCACCTCTATTAGAAGGTTTGTAAAGTACGTGCAATACATACAAACAATTCATAGCACGGCAGAAGAAAGGACGTCGCAGAGCAAGAAAGGAAAATCTCAAGTTGTAATCAAAGTAAAATCAACAGCATGAAAGATATATCATTGATCATTATGAGCAGACTTCTCGTTATTTGAAATGTCGTCATCAAACGTAGACATCATTCATATAAATAGACTTTATATCCTCTCATCTTTGAATTTTAAGTAGAACCCATTTTTTTCTATTGAACGTCGACCATATATTTGCTTACGACCATTCACTTGAGTTCACGACCTGAAACACCTTCGAAATAATACTATTTGACAATAATCCGCGACGGAAATTTTAAAAAATGACTGGTAAAGGGCAGGGTAAGGGAAAAGGGAAAGCATCGGGTAAAGGGGTTTCTAGATCTGCAAGGGTAAGGTATCTATGTAATTTCATGGGTTCCATGCAACAACTCTTAGTATACGTATTTGTTTATTACTTTTTAGGCTGGTCTTCAATTTCCCGTTGGTAGAATACACAGGCATCTTCGTAATGGCAATTATGCTTTTCGTATCGGCAGTGGTGCCCCCGTTTACTTGGCTGCCGTTCTTGAGTACTTGACTGCCGAAATATTAGAGCTCGCTGGGAACGCTGCTCGTGATAACAAAAAGTCAAGAATCATTCCTCGACACATTCAATTGGCTATTCGTAATGACGAAGAATTAAATAAGTTACTTGGTCATGTTACCATTTCTGAGGGCGGAGTGTTGCCCAACATTCATCAGGATTTGTTACCTAAGAGATCAGGGAAGGATGGAAGTAAAGGTAGAGGTAAGTTTTGTTTTTTAATGATAATTAAAGTAATCATGCAATAATGGTAATTTTAATTTCAATAATTAAATTCATCATCTTTAGGAAAAATCGCTCCTTCACAACCTGCTGATGAAAATGTAGGAACCGGGGAGGAGGCTGGTGAAGAGACTGGTGGCGGATCCGAATAGATGTGTGATGAAAAGATACCTTTATAAAACTTATCTTAATCTTACACTGTAAACTTTTTTTTTTTCATTATTTTTATTTTCTGCATTCATTCTCCTATATATGCTCTGCCTTAATTTTATATAATCGTTTTCTCAATTCTTCGATTGCAACTCTTTGAATTCATATAATAAGTACACTTGACTATTGACACTTTAATATGAGTATGACTTTAAGCTTGCTTACAGTATTATAGTTCGATTCCATGAAATCTATCATTTGAAATTAAGTATAACAATGAATTGTAGGGAGCCAATTTATTTATCCATTTTTTGTTTTATAAGTTAGTTTTGCTTCGAGTTTAAATTTCTAGTTTTTTTTTTCGACAATAATAATAGTTCGTTTAATAAATGATTACATTCTTTCACAACTTTCAATAATCCGATCTCATCTCGTTTTACTAATAAATCAGTCATTTCCTGCTTGAATGATCCATTATTCCAGATGCACACCCTGTGTGCGCCTAAATCTTCTGTACAAACACGTTCCGATAGCGATAATGCATGCAATAAAAAACGCCGAAAATATGAGAAGTATAGCCATCAAACCTTTCAAGTTATCAATGTCGTCGAGTGATAGTTTCGAACTGCTTTCCGAGATGGATGACATCATCGAAAATCTTAGTGAAACCTGAAAGTAAACGATTTCCTCGATTGGATTCAGTATCACAAGACAAAATGAATTTATCGATGTATTCTTATAAGATTGGCGACATTTCTGCACAGGCGTGTAACACGACACCTGGTCGATGTACGACAAAACCCCGTTGGTGATATCTTTCAAGGAGCTCTTTTCCACTGTTAGCACCAATATTCCGCCATCTCTATCATTTTCTGGAATGGACGACATGTTGATGATTTGATTTTTTCCGAAGTCGCCGATTACTTGTGATGCCGAAGGAGGTGATTTCATCACTGTTACTGCGTAGCCTGAAACATCCGAAGGAGATGAACGTTAGAAAATTACATTTTCACATTTTACGATCAAGCGATTGATCACCTATATAATTTGCAGGCTGAGGTCCGCTGCATTGGTACCAAGCTGATGAGTAGTATACGCTTGAGATCCCATTAAAATCTTGTCCCGCGTCTGCGTATGTCGGTAATATCTGTGTCATCACATTTTTAAACAATGATCGTCAACAAATGCGTGCAATAGCAAACGTTAAGTTAGGACGGTACTGTACTATGATTTTGTCTGCGAACCTGAAATATCAATATTATGGAAAATACACCGGTGATCAGATTGAGATGATTTATTCTATTCCGAAACATCTTAAGTAATGTGATAGGACAAATTTAAGCACGAAAGAGTCTTGACGATTTTATAAAAAATATGCCTTCAAGAAAAATAAAAAAACTTCCCTAACTCACACGTACCGCACGATTTTATACAGAATCAGAAAATTTATCGGACCTCCAATAATAGCCTAAATCACTTTTCCGAAATCAAAGAGCATCACTCCTGACATGATGTTAAGGGCAAAGTTCGAATTTTGGTTAACAAATGAGTGCATCTAGTGATGTCGATCGGTTACTTAAGCAGATTACTGTATCACGTTTTCCATTATCATTTTCGTTTTAAATATAATCTTATTCATATTTCATACATTATTTAATTTTAAATGATATATAATTTCGAGTTTTTTTTACTTTTAAGATTTTTTGCTATGAAAAAAGAAAACAAATCATTCATTCATTAACAACATTCTCGGGATTTTTTTTTCTTCTTTACTGTACCTGAAATATTTTAATAGCTGATGTGATCAATGCAATGGATTATTGTATCGGCAAACACAAATTCTCACGCGAATTAGGGATAAGCGACTGGCATAATATACTGTATATATACTATATGTATATATGTATAATACTGTATATGACAATCATATGAAGTTAATTAACGATGCCCTTATCAACAAACTGACTTGCAACAAGAGACCCAGGAATAAAGGTGATGGCCGCAAGAACGTAATCTATTTATTGTCCTTCGTGATGCGTGACAGGATGGTCACTATGCGTAGCAAATAGCGTAACATGCGTACGAATTTATTTAGGTAACTTGACTATACGGTATATTGTTCATCGTTCAAGAATTTAATTAGGAAATGATCTTTAACCAAGTTCTGTTCGCATTTCACTTTTTCGTTTTTAAAAAATCATGATAGACAAAACGGAAATTGTTATGATAGGTATCGGGTAAGAAGACGCTTTCTCATGTGATTACATTAAGTGATTATAACAAATTAGAAATACCTGATTTTCTGTTGCATGAATAGCGGGGCATCAGCTTCCGGAAAAAGTGTATGTTATGTTCGTTGAGATTTGACGGATGGTGATTCTTACGATGTTTCATTTCGTTCGTTCACCCAAAAGAACAAAACCAAAATAATCAAACTTTCCTCTTTTTAAATAGACGCTTTCCAGTCTTCTCGCTCGTATTTTCCAAAATAGCACGAATTTTTCACAAGACAATTTTTTCAAGGTATTTACGAAATCTTACACCTAATTCGATATTCTTGTGCTAACTCTCTTTCTAAAAGAATATATCCCAAATCGCAACCATCCCCGAAATGGATGACTATCCTCTCTTGGAATCCCCTGATGCACTTGATTTTCCCACCTTTATAGAAACGTTGAAACACTTTCGTCAAACGGGTTCTTCCATCAATCCTCAAAAAGAAGGTTTGGTGATCAAGAAACGTTTTGAGGGAAGTCCTCACTTAGAATCCTTGGTGAAAAGTTTATCTTTGAAAGTTAGAGATACTCTTGAAGATGATGAATGGAAGTTTTCTTTCGTAGACGGGTACCTCTTATATTGGGATATTGAAGTTGTAAAGGAATTGGATCTAAGATTTTTTGTTCAAGCCGACTATGGAATTGTGAAAGAACGAAGAAAAGATATCTCAAGCGATGGTCTGTTGGACAAGATGCATATGCGTCGCTTTCTTAGGAATATAGGTTTTCTGTCTCTTCAATGACTATTCTGACCTGCTCTTTTATTTCTTCATTAGAAAGCTGGTTTGAACCGTTAGGATACTTTGACACGTATGTCTGGCCGTACTACTTAAAATTCCATGAACCTTTGTTTAATGGATTTTTTGAAACTGGACGGACAACGGATAGTGTAGTGGTGCTTAAGTCTAATTATGTGGACGATCTGTATAAAAATTTAGAAATAACCGTAGAAAAAATTTTGGAGTATGTCAAGGCAAAAAAAATTGAAAGAAATCTATGATCCCACTTGATACAATTCTAGAATATTTTAATCTCAATTAATTTTATTTATTTATTTATCTGACAGCTTACAATTTAACTACTATATATTTAAAAAAATAATTAAAATAAGTTATTGACATGAATGTTATAATATACATATACTGTATAGTTTCTTATAAATGAATTGATTTGTTTTGGGAAATTTACCATGTCTCCCATTTACAGATTCGTGATTTAATTATGCACATTTAAAAAATGCCATCATCAATTTTCTTTGTTAAGATGTATCCATTTTTCATTTTGAAGATTTTAAAAATAACAAATAATAATATTTTTAAATTAACATTATAAACTAATTAGTTTATATCATTTATTGTTAATATTTGCATTAGTTGTTTTTTTTTTTTTTTTTGATAGTTTTTAAATATAATTAAAAAAATATTTTGCAGATGAAATAAAGGTTAAAAGTTACAAATGATTAAATTGTTTTCATAATTAAATTACAAAATAAAATTTTGTAGCTCTGATTTTTTTTACTAATTAAAAAATTGAAATATTTCTTATATAAATTAATTTAATTAATAATTTATTTGTCTAAATTTTAATCCCAAAGATAAATAATTTATTTGTTTAAATTTTAATCCTAAAAATAATAAAATTTTATAATTTAATTAATTAATTAATTTTTTTGAAAAAATTTTTTATTAATTTTGACTATATTTAAAATCAAAAAGTAAATCAAGTTTAAAAATTAAAAATTGATTTAAAAGTAAATTAAATATATTAATATAATAATTTATAAATATAAATTTTGAAAATAATTTTTTTTAAAAAAACTTTTAAATGTAAACAATATAATTTTATAATATAAATTATTAATTAGCTTTGTTATAAGATTAAAGATATTTTATTAAAAATATTTTCAATATTATAATCTTTTTAAAATAATAAAAAAAATAAATATATATTGTTGGTTCAATAAAAGTCATGAAATATAATCACATAACATAATTATTACATTATATATACTGGAAATATAAAAAATTATTAATAATAAACATGGAAAAATATAATTATAAAAGTTTAATTAACTTGTTTAATAATTTATTTTTTCTTAATTGTTTTTTTAATATTATTAAAAAAAAACCTAAAAAACACTATAATGATTTTCTTCCTAATTTATTACTTGAATTAATTAAAAAAATTTTTTTTAAATTAATATTAAACTTTATTAAATATTTACTATTTAACAAGATTTATACTATTATAATTTTTTATTTTTTAAATATTATTATAAATTTAATAAACTATCTAATATATATTTTAAAAAATGGTCTTTTTTTTATAAAGATTCAACAATTTTTTAACTAAATAAAAAAATATTTTTTCTATAAAAATATATATATATATATATTAAATGTAGCAATTTAAAATTACAAAAACTATCTTTATAAAAAATACAATATTCATTCTAAATTACTAATTTCCTATTTCAATTTTCAATTTTAAAAAAGCTATTATTAACAATTAATCAACTTTTAGATTTTAAATATAAATATTGTTCTTTTTTAATTCTAAAGATAATAATAATTATATTCTGTAATAAATCATTACTCTATATAAAAAAATTTGGTTTTAAAAAATTTTTAATATTTACTTTTTTATTAAAACAAAATTTTTTTCTTCTTCTAATAAAATATACTTGAGATTAATATTTTCTTTTAATAACAAACTCTCAAAACATTTAAAAATATATATATTTTTTATCAGTTCTTTCTTTAAGAAATAAATTAACCTTCTTTCAATATAAAACCAATTTAATAATATAAACAACAATAAATAAACTATAATAAATAATTACACACTTTCAACAAATTATCAAAGGATAAATAAAAAAGTATTAATCAATTTCTCAATTATTAAAAAATCAATATTTGTTTCAAATTATTAAAATTCATTAATATTATCAATTTTCATAAATTCCTAACAACTGAATTCAAATTTCAATCAAACTTTCTTTTTCTAATTTTTTTAGACTTAAAAAATTTCTAAAAGACAATTATACCTAAATAGAACCTATTATTATTATTATTATTATCTTAAAAATTTATGAACTACAAAAAATTTTTAACTTTTAAAAACATTTAAATAATATATTGCAAATTAAACTTTTTGAATCCTTAACCAAATGTTTTAATTTTTTAAACAACAATTATAAATCCAATTATAAACTTATCAATAATAAAAAATCTCTTAAAAATTTTTCAATATAAAATAAATTCTCTATATTTAAATTAACTTATTAAACAATTAAGGTTTAAATAATATAATCGAATCAATTGTTTTTTAAAGTATATAAAAAACAACTATAACATATTTGATATCTCAAAAATTAAATTTCAAAATACAAAAAAAATATTTTATAATATTAAAAACTTTTTAATTTATTTAAAAAATATTAATGAAAATTTTGAACTTAAAAATATATTATATTTATTTATTTACAATTCAAAACAAAAATTAAAAATTAAAAATTAAACTTTATATAATTCAGAATTATATTTTATATAGTTCATATAATAAAAATATTCTATGGTATATTTACAGTATATAATTTTATTAATAACAATTCATCAAAAAATATTTCTTATATTATAATAAATAACTTCAACTCAATATTTACATTAAAAAATAAAGCCCAACAATCCAAATTCAAATACAAATTAAATATATAGAAAATCAAACAAAATTATATTAATATTTTTCATTCTTTTCATATTAACAAAACAATATTCATAGATTTGTAAGTCTATAGTACAATAGTTAACACTTCACAAGTCAGATCACAAGATATTAGTTCAATTTCAAATAAAGGTAGTTAAATAGGATTTATATAATATTTGATATTATAATCTATTAAAGATTATTTTTTATACAAAGCCATTTCATATACTAATTTAACAGAATTGAAATTATATTCTTTATAAAAAATATTATAACATAACAATTATTTAAATAATATTATGATGATTACCAAAAGTATACCTATAGTTATTGAATAATATAGTAAGTTAAGAGGCATGTATTCAACTTTTTTAATTAAAACTTCTCTTATGTTTAAATATATAGACTAAGCTATATCTTATTCTAATTCATTCTTGATTTTTTCTTTTCAATAATAGTTAAAGCTCTAGCCTAGACTATTCCAATCTGATACAAAGCTTAATTGATTTGAAAAATAATTAGCTACAGATAATAAAAAGAATTATAGTTTTGCAAAAGATATTATAAGCTAGCAAGAGTATGATCTAAAATCTGAATAATAAAATAAAAAAGTACTTGAACTAATCTTTCTAATCAAGATTTCTTTAAACAAAGTTAGACCATATACTGTAGGTTAGGTAGTTTAAACTAGTCATAAGATTTTTACACTCTATAGGTCTTTTCTTAATTGTTATGTAAGAAATTACTCAAGGTAATAGGTTTCTGAATACTATATATAAGGTGGAATATAGAGAATATTTTGTATAGAGTATATAATGTACTAATTTGTATAAGTTTTTGCACCACAAAGACCATTTATACAAGGCACTTATCAATAAAGAACTTGTAAAGATTCACACTTACACCTTAAAAAAACAAAACTTTAGCATATATTTTTTTAATAATTTTAAATTAAATCAGCTGTAATTCCAAAATAATTAGAACTAATAACTATATAAACTATAGTTGAAATATAGTCATATTTGATTACCTTAAAAGCTTTTTTATTACTAGTAATAATTAAAATAAAGTCTATATTTGTTCAAAACAAATTTTATAACAAATAATCAGAATTTCAAAATAATCACAAATAATTTATTTAAAAACCTCCTTCAATTATAATAATATACATAAATGGTTTTCAAAGACCGACTTTGTCTGGTAAAATTATATTCTATAATCCAATTTATTTGAATCAAGTTAAATATGCAGGCTTCATAAATCACAAGGTAGATAAATCACTAACGGATTGTTTGTAAAAATTTAATTTTATGCATTAATAGTTTTCTTGTAATATACAGCCAGTTTATAATGGAATTTAAAATATCAACTGGTGCATATAAAACATATTTTCACTAAAACCAAGTCTTCACTTTCTAACATTAAGGTAAAATTTTTTTAGAAATGATAAGTCAGACGATTTATGAAATTCCAAAAGAGGAAGTTGAATCGAAAATATCCACCAAAAAAGATTTAAAATAAAATAATGCAAAAATGATTATAGAAATAATCAACTATAGAGCGAGAAACAGTAGAGCGTCTATATTACTGTCCGTTGGAATTATGGTCGCCTTGAAGATAACCATGTATTAGCGTTAATGAATTGTGATGAGATCTCATTCGAAATAACTGAGCTTGCTTTAAGAGATTTTACTCCAGCAATAATCTATAATAGTGTGAAATAAAATTTAGACCAAAACCATTAAAGATCGTCGGGTTATAAGAATAACATACCTCATCCCAAAATAAAAAACCATTCTCCAAATCTGATTTTGCACTTTCACATGCCGTAAAAGTATCTTCAATTTTTTTGAGCGCATCGTTTATATGCGAGCTATTTACACTCTTACTATCACCTTCCTTTGAAAACGCAATAACATTTTCAAGGTAAGTTTTAACAATTATCCCTAGTCCAGTATTCACGTCATTTAGAAAAGGCAAGCTAAGAGCAACAAGTCAATATTAATGATTAAGCAAACGAGTTGTGATTATAACTTGATCAACAAACAAACCTCAGTGCTATATCAAGATAATCTTGTCTTTCTTTAACGCAATCTCCATTTAAAAACATTGACAACGTTAACATCTCGCATAGATTTCGTAATGAACGAGTCAATACTTTTACAAAACTATTAAAAACCAAAAGCTCTCTGCAAAGAGGGCCAACCCAAGGCACGCCCTAATTATAACGCATCAGAATTAAATCATGTTTCATATAAATACTAAAGTCCTCCATCTAACCATTCTAAATATAGAATCACCTTAAATTTAGCAGGAATGAGGCTGAGAGTCCTAGAAATCAAAAGAATATGTTTTTTTTCCTCATCTGAAAGTAAAATAACTAATATTATTATCCGAAGAATAATGAATTCTGAGTTAACAGATTATACTTAATATTTAAACTATAAATATGAATACCATTAACATGACTTGGTGCGGAATAATATGCTTTACTGTAATGATTTCCATGAATACAACCAAATCTAATTAACTCGAGAGCGATAAATATTTGTTCCTGATGGGAATCCTTGGCAGACTTAGACGCGCTTAAAGCCTTGTGAAAAGCAGTGCCCCACTGGGTATGGATATGCTGCGAATGAATCAAAAAACTATATATATATATATTACCGAAAAATCTCGGTTATATTGTGCAACAGGTAATGCTAATATAACACACTTGCAAGCTTACTTTCTTAATTCCAATAATTTCCATAAAACATTTCCACAGATCTCATCTTTGGAACTTATTGCTTTGTTGTCTTTTGGCATCACTGTTCTGGTGGCTTGTTCTGGGGTTGCTGTTGCTCTCAGACAGAAAGCAATGTCAATCGTAGATGTCTATAAAAACATTAATTAACAAAAATATAATCGCATCGAATTAATACTAATTTATATCTTTGATATACCTTTTGTGCTTTCTTCTCCTCTTCTATTCCTCTTTCTAAGACATTCCAAGTGTTTAACTTTTCATGAATACTCGGAACGACATTGTGATTTAATAAATGTTCATTGCTGGGATCAAACCAATAGAAACTAACAACGCGCTTAGATTGATAAAACGGATGTAAAGGCTGAGTAAGCAAACCCATAGCCTGCGTACGAAGTTCAAGCAATTCATTGAGAAACTGTCTATACTCCTGTGTTTCACCATTGCATAATGGAGAGTTTTCGATTAAGACTCCAGATATCAATGTATTAATAACCTGTAGGTATAAAAGGACTTGTTAATGTAAGTAAACATTGGAAAAAAAAATTGCATTCTAAAATTTATATATACCTGAGGAGACATCAATCCTTTTGACAAATAATAATATACTTCATCGGGTAATCGATATCCAATAATATCATGAATATCACTTGGCGAAGATTCTTCGTTCAAAGGTCTAACTTGTCCCTCATCCGTCAACACCATATGATATTTGACGGCACATCTTGTGCGACAGAAAGCTTCTATATAATTTGCCTTGACGGCGCCCGCATGATCTGCTGCAAAACTTTGGACAGCATTAAAACCATTTCGATGCTGTTTAATTAGATCGTGAACATTCTTAAAGTTAAAGTTGAGAAATTCGGAGCTGAGTGGTGGACCAGCAAGAATGCAAACATCTAAGAACTGATCATCAGTCAACGCGAGCTCATTAAGAATAGTCTTCTTGTTCAACCATGAACATGATCCTTTCTGAATATAGTTAATTTCTTTAATTTCCTATTCAATGTAATTTATTGATATGCAATAAAAAAAAACAAACCTCTAAATCAATATTCGTGATCACGCTATCAACATCATACATTAATAATTCTGGTCCTCCGTAAAGGCATTGGACATAGGCTTTAGGATGACGCTCTAAATACACCAGCTTGTAGAATCACGAGAATTAATGTTTCATAAAATATATATAGTCGACATAAGTTATTTGTCTCTCATACAGTCTTGGAGGACTAAACATATTATTATTCGATTCGAAATGGGATTTCAATAAGTAATACAATCGGATCAACATAAAAATAAGTTAAACACTTTCAAAATCGTTCAAACAATCCCCGTTTCCCGATGCAATAATTTACACGTAAGAGACTTGATGATAACACCAATTATAAACTAAATACCTGTCCCCACGCAGAATATGGCGCTCTGATAAATTCCACATCATTTTCTTTGAAAATTTTGAAAACGAAGTATGATAAGTCTGGTTGGGGAATGGACCCGGCTCCCCACGTACTAAGAGCTACATCAAGTCGATTTTTTTCGTACATATCCCATGCAGAGGCTCGTTTCGAAGGCCTGGTATCTTCCGAAGAAAATGGTTTGTCTTTACGTATAATACTAAGACCAGTAAATACGAACACCGGCGTGATTCCAAATGATCTACAGAAATCATCGTGCCCTTATTGGAATACATTGAAATGAATCGGATCAAAGACAAAATAAAGGCGAGCTACCTCATTAATCCTAGTTCTCTTTCTATGATCGCCTTAAGTCCAAGAGGTACCCCTCCTAAAGCCGCAATCGTTGGCTCTTTCGCAGAATTTTGCAAAAGTTTACGAAGCCAATGTGTTCCATCAATACCAAGACGGGTATCTTTCAGGAAGGTAAGTGAAGATGGCTGAGCTAGACGACGTTCAGCAACAAAAACTAAAATGATAAATCTTTGAAGTTAGATCTCAAAGTTGATATCAAATAGCTGCCGATGTTTGGAACCTACTTTCGAAACTCCTAATCATTTTGAAGCAAGAGTTCTATAGATGTGATAATGTAATTAATACTGAATTTTTTTTAGTGAAACCATTTAACCACGTGAATATAATCAGCATTAAATGCTATTGAAATAGAAATATCCAAAAACACATAATTTAATACTAGCCTATAAGTTTAAATAATTTATTTTATTTTATTTTAGATAGGCTAAGTATAATCAAACAAATCACTTTATTGATACAGTAATTATAAGCTATTATATACAAATTATTCTATATTTTTTATTTTTATTTTGATATTCCAGTTCTATTGCTTAATAATTTATTTTTAATAATTCTAAAAAACAAATTAACAAGAAATAAAAATTCAGTTATTAGTTTAAACTATTTAAAACCTGTTATTGATTCAGTTGTATATAATAAGAAACTTGATTAGAGAAGTTGATTTATCTATAGAATTATTTTTAATAATTATTATAATATTAACAAATAATTTATTTATTTTTTTTTTTAAAGGAGCAATTGGCTATCGCGCTATCGTTTATTATTATAATTTTAGACTTGCAGGTTACAAGATTTACAATATGGGAAGCATGACATACATCTCTCTTTGCTAGGAAGAGTTAAATGCAGGACCTGTAAAGGTCACCCCTACACTTCTTGGCACCATTCAAGGAATATAATAAAAAAGAATATTTAAAATCTATATTATGGTCTTAAATGGCGTCTAGCTACCTAGAAATTAAATTGAATGTCTAATCACATGAAAGCACTGCAGCCACTTTATACAGGTTTGCTTCCAAGTCATAAGTAGGACTGGCACGCTTGCTTCTCAAATATGACTTGATGTTCGGCAGGCAGAGTAATATCGGGAGATTTTTATTTGTGATTACCTTTTCACATGAAGGTGCTACAGCCATTTTATACAGGTTTGCCTCCAAGTCATGAAAAGGATTTGGCACACCCATTTCTCAAGTGTGGCGAAGTGTTTCATGGGTGGAGTTTAGTTTTGGATTTCTTAAAGGTGTTGATACCTAATCTTATACAATAAGACCTACATTGTCGAAGGGATAGGCAAGGAACTTTCGTTGTCATTACCAGCTCGTGTTGCGGGGGTAACTAGAATCTCTGATCTTCATGTATTATCCTACTAAATTCTCCAATCACCAGCATGACACCTGCAGACTAACCTAACTTACTGTTAGTTGCATTGGTATTGGCTATCATATCTTTCTGGATACTGTGGGGCGCAACTCCTTGGATACTTTCATATAATAATAGTTGTACACCGGTTTTTTAGATATATCTAGTCTAACCATCAATGAGTAAACAACACCAGATTAGGTAATGATGACCATGTTGATCTTTTGGAGGAGGTAAACCATCCGTCCTTTTTCTGAGGAGCCATGGAGAGAAAACTTTCCATAGTCCATGTCCTATGGAAACCTTGCCGCTTCTTATATGGTTCCTGAAAGAAAAGGGTCTACTGACCAGAGAAGTGATGTTATGGAGGTGGAGTTTTCAAAAGAGAGAAAGGCTTAGGGAGGAAAACCTTTAGGGAAAAGGGAAAAACCTAGCTTCGGCAGGAAAAAAAAAGGGGGAAAGGGAAGGGAGAGGTAAAAGTAAAAGAAAAGAGTATATAGAAGAGAAGGAAAAAATAGGAGAAAGGAAATAAAGAGGTATGGAAAAAGGACATAGAGAGAAAGGAAAAGAAACAACGAGTAAAGAATAAACAACTCAAAAATTTCCTAAAAAGGAAATTTTCAAGTGTAGAAAGGAGAAGTAGAAAAGAGTTTTTTTTTAACAAATAATTTATATTTTTATTTAAATTAAATTATTTATATATTAGTTTTTTTATCAAAAAAAAAAACTTTTTTATATTCATCTTATATTTCTTAAAATTATCTTTTTTGAAAATCTCTTTTTTTCAATATGAAAAACATTTTTAAAAGTTAAATATAATAAAAAAAAAAATTTTTAATTAGTAGTGATATATTATATTTTCTTTAGAGATATAGCTTTTGCTAATAAAAAAGCTGTAAGATCAAAAACAACTTCAAACAAATTGCTTTAAATAGTAAGCCAAAGTCTCATTAAAATTTAGATTGGCTCCTTAATAACAAAAAGTTGAGTAGTATTTCTTATACAACTAGAAGATATAAGATAACATATTACTAAATAGTAATAATACTCAAAAAACTGAATAAAAAGTATAAAATACTTGCTTTTGAAAAAATTTAATTAATTATAATTTAATAAAAAAATTTATTAATATAATATAAAAATTTAAATATTTATTTTTTAAATATTTAAAAATTATTTATTAAAGTTTATTTAATAATTTATTAATAAATTTATTATAAAATTAAAAAAAACTCTTTCCTACTTTCCCTTCTATACTTGAAAATTTTCTTTTTAGGAAACTTTTGAGTTGTTTACTTTTTTCACTTTTTCCTTTCCTTATTTCTTTACTTCTCTTCTTTCATATCTCTTTATTCCTTCTTCCCTATTCTCTCATCTCTCTTCTATATACTCTTTTATATATTTCACCTCTTCCTGTTCTCTTTTCCTTTTTCTTGTCAAAGTTAAATTTTCTTTTCTTCTTAAAGGTTTTCTTTCTAGACCTTTCTTTCCTTTATAAACTTTGCTCTTCATAACATCACTTCTTTGGTCGGCCGGTTTCTTTTTCTTAAGACCATATTCAGAAGTGATAATTTCTTTCAAAATGTAAGCTTTAGAATTTTTCTCTCTTCCATAATCTTACAGAAAAAGAATAAATAATTTACTCTTCCAAAAAATTGGTATAGTCATTATTATCAAATCTGATATTGTTTATTTATTGATGGTTAGACTAGATACATTTAAGAAACTGATATATAACTATTATTATTTGAAAGTATTCAAGGAGTTACACCTTACTGTATTCAGAAAAATATGGCAGCCAATGTCAATGCAGCTAATAATAAGCTAAGTTAATTTGTAGGTGTTATGCTAGTGATTAAAGAATTTATTAGGATAATATGTAAAGACCAGGAATTCTAGTTACCTCCACAATACAAGCTAGTAATAACAATAAAAGTTTCTTGCTTATTTCTTTGACAATATAAACTCATTATACAAGATTAGGTATCAATACCTTTAAGAAAATCCAACTTCACTATATATCCAACACCTTCTTTAACAAATCATTATTTTATATCCAACCCTATTTTTTATACTCTCCAGTTCTATCTTATCCTAAAACCAAAATATACCTTTCAAAGCTATTTTAACAGTGAGATTAATTGCCACTTTTTAGTCTATAGTCCTAGTAATGAGTTTCAAAATAGAAGGTCTATATTAGATAAAAATGGTGAAGGGTTAATGTTGCCAAAAAGTTATATTGGTATTAAAGACAATTGCCACTCTTCAGCCTTTAGTCCTAGCAATAGGTTTGAATGGAGGGTTAATACTAGATGCAAATAGTAAAAGATCTGCTTTATTTTGATATATTTGAAGTTAGTATAGCTTGGAATCACTTTTTCTTCACTTGTTATATATCAAGTCACAGTTAGAAAACAAGTATTCCAATTCTAGTTATAACTTGGAGGCCAACCTATATATAGTGGCTGCAGCACCTTCATATAATTAAGTAACCAAATTCTCTAGGTAGCTAAATGCCATTCAAGGTATAATATAGGTTTTGAATTTCTTTTTTCTATATTTTTAAGTAGTGCTAAGGAGCTCAAATAGATAGGTTGCAATTGTGAGCCTTGTATTAAACTCTTCTTAGCAAAGAGAGATGTATACTATGCTATAAGGTTGTAAATCTTGTACTTGTAAGTCTAAAATAGTGTTACAAATTGTTAATTGGAAAGTTTAAAATTAGCCAATCAGAATTCAGGATTTTTAGTTGCAACTAATTGATTATATTGAAAACAACTAATCGATTAGAAAAATTTTTGCTAATTAAGATTACTAGTCTAAAATTTATAATAAAAATAATGTATAGGAACTGTCTGTTCCTTTAAAAAATAAATAAATAAAAATAAATTTATTGTAAAATTTTGTTTTAAAATTAAAAAAAACTATTTTAAAAAATTTATTATAAAATTTATATATAAAATTATATATATTTTATAAACAAAAAAAATTTTTTTTATTATATAAATATTTTTAAAAAATTTATAAAAAATTATTTATAATATTTAAATAATATAATTAAAATTATTTTATAATTTATATTTTTAAAATTAATTTTTTAAAAAAATTTTTTTGGTAGGGTTTTTCCTATAGATAAACATTATTTCTTTATTTAATATTATATATAAAAAGGTATACATTATGAAAGAAACAATATCTCTTACATATATAAAGCAATAAGTTAAATACTAACTTGTCTATATATAGTATGGAACAAAAATAATAACACTTCAAAAAAAAAACTCTCACCCGTTTACCACTGATTTCTTGAAAATTTCCTTATATGGTAATTTTCTTGAAAGAAGCGCTTTCCTCTCTCTCTTCAATATGCC